TGGTGCTGGGAAAATTGGACAGATACATGCAAAGAAAAAAGAAAAAGCTAGGCTATCTTTTTACACCACACAGAAGAATAAATTCAAAATGGATTAAAGACTTAAAAGTAAAACTCAAGGCCATAAAACTTTTAGAAGCAAACATAGGCAGTAAATCTTGGACATTTCTCATAGCAGTATTTTTTTCTTGGCCAAGGAAAGCAAAAGAAAAAATAAATGGAACTCACAAGTTTTGCACAGCAAAGAAAACCCACAAGTTTTGCACAGCAAAGAAAACCATAAACAAAATGAAAAGAACCTACTGAATGGAAGAAGGTGATAAGGGGTTAATATCCAAAATTTACAAAGAACAGATACTAAACACCAAGAAACCAAACACTTCAATTAAAAAATGAAATATCATTCAGCAATAAAAAATGAAATCTTCCCATTTGTGACAACATGGATGGACCTAGAAGGTATTGTGCTCAGTGAAATAAGCCAGTCAGAGAAAGATAAATACCATATAATTTCACTTATATGTACAATCTAAAGAGTGAAATAAAATTGAAACAGACTCATATATACAGAGAGTGGATTGGTGGTTGCCAGAGGTGAGGGTGGTTGGGGTATTGGGTGAAAACGGTGAAGGGATTAGGAAGTAGAAATTGGCAGTTACAAAATAGTCACAGGGATGTAAAGGACAGTATAGGGGATATATCAATAATATTGCAATGACTATGTATGGTGCAAGGAGGGTACTGGAAATATTGGAGAGAACACTTTGTAAAGTATATAATTGTCTAACCACCATGCTGTTCACCTGAAACCAATACAAAATAATATTGAATATAAACTGTAATTTTACAAAATAAAAATTGTGAAATAAAAAAATTGAAAGCAGAAGAATAAGTGGTAAAGGATATAAGATATACATTTGAACAGATATACACATGGACATTTTTAGATGCTTAGGATCCCCAGTATTTTTTCAGAACATTGGCTAACTTTTAATTAATAGATTTTTGTTCATAAGAAATTTTTTTCTTTTTTTTTAATTAATCTTCAGATAGAGTGGGAGGGAGAGAGAGAGAAACATCGACACGAGAGGGACACATCAACTGGTTGCCTTCCACACGACCCTGACCTGGGCCAGGGAGGAATCGCAACCGAGATACGCCCTCGACCGGAATTGAACCCACAACTCTTTGGTCCGTGGGCTAACACTCTAACCGCTGAGCCAAACCGGCCAGGGCAATTTTGTGTTTTATTTTTAAAATAATTTTTCTTTATTGATTTTTAGAAAGAGAAGAAGGGACAGGGAGAGAGATAGAAACACCCATGAGAGAGAAGATCGATTGGCCGCCTCCTGCACGCCCCTCACTGGGGATCAGGCCCACCACCTGGGCATGTGCCCTGACTGGGAATTGAACCAGCGACTTCTTGGTACATGGGTCGATGCTCAACCACTGAGCCACATCGGCTGGGTGGCCAGGGCAATTTTTGTTCATACGGAATTTAAAATCACAATGCAATGGTTTAAGCATCACCAAAGTCAACTTAAATTAATGAATTCTTGGAGCTTAGGGCACAAAGGGATTGTCAAGGAGTTCATCAGATAACTAAGTATTAACAGAAAATTATATCAGGATTTCCCAGCTCAATCATATAGTACAATTTTGGGTTCATAGGTTAATTTTGGTACTGCAGGTGAGATATTATCTAGTACAAGCATGAAGTTTGGTATATAGTAAAAGAATATAACCTGGACTAATCTGAGGACCTGGTTACAGAAAATCAAATTATTCTAACCATACTTTCAAATCCCTGCTCCTGCACTACATTGTAAGGTTTAAATGAGCTAACTAAAACATAGTGCAAGAAAAATAGAGTTCAATATTAATAATATTTGTCTTTTGCCTTTTCCAACTTCCACTACTTATTATGTAACTCTAAATGAGTCTCATAAGTCACAATCTTTTCACCTGTAAAACAGGAATTGTAATACTGAGCCTCACTACTGCACAGCTTTGAATGAGACAACCTATAAAAATGTGTTTTGTAAAGGGACTATAAAGATGCATGTGAAAGATTTCTATTAAACCTGCAATTGGTTTGATGCTTTCAATTATTTTTGGAGCTCAAAACCTAAAATGAATTTTACAGTCACCTCAGTTACATATTATAGAAGAATTTCAGCATTTTGCTTTATCTGGCTTTGACTTTCCATCAAAAAATGAGAAGTAAAAGATAAATTTTTAAAAATATTTTTTATTTTAAAATTATAATTGACAGCCCTGGCTGGTTTTGCTCAGTGGTTAGAGCTTCAGCCTGTGGACCAAAGACTCACAGGTTTGATTCTGGTCAAGGGCATGTACCTTGGTTGTTGTTCCTCCCTGGCCCTGGTCAGGGTTGTGGGGGAGGCAGCCAGTTGATTTGTCTCTCTCACATTTGTCTTATTGCTCTGGCTAGGACTTCCAGAACTATGTTGAATCAGAGTGGTGAGAGTGGGCATCCTTGTCTTGATCCTAATTTTATAGGAAAACTTTCAGGTTTTTGCCATTGAGTATAATATTGGCTGAGGGTTTATCATATATGGCCTTTATTATGGTTATGTACTTTCCTTCTATTTCTATTTTATTGAGTGTTTTAATCATATATAAATGTTGAATCTTATCAAGTGCTTTTTTTGCATCTATTGATAAGATCATATGATTTTTATTCTTTCTTTTTTTTTTTTAATCCTCACACGAGGATACTTTTCTATTTATCTTCAGATAGAGTGGGAAGGAGGGAGGGAAGGAGAGAAAGAGAGAGAGAGAGAGGAGAGGGACAAACATCTATGTGAGAGAGACACATCGACTGGTTGCCTCCTGTGCGACCTGACCAGGGCGGGGACGAACTGCAACTCAAGTATGTGCCCTTGACTGGAATCGAACCCACAACTCTTTGGTCCTCAGGCTGATGCTCTAACCGCTGAGCCAAACCAGCCAGGGCTGATTTTTATCACCTATTTTGTTAGTGTGGTGTATTATATTGATTGACTTTCATATGTTGAACCATCCTTGGGCCCCCAGAATGAACCCGACTGATGTTTTAACTTTTTAATGTATTGTATTCTATTTGCTAGTATTTTCTTTAGGATTTTTGCATCAGAAATATTGGACTGTAGTTTTCTTTCTGTGTTATCCTTGCCAGGTTTTGGTGTCAGGGTTATTTTTCTCTCATAAAATATACTGGCAAGTATCACCTGTTCTTCATTTTTTTTGAAGAGTTTGAGAAGGATAGGTATCAAATCTTCTTTGAATGTTTGGTAGAACTCACTGGTGAAGCCATCTGGTCCTGGACTTTTATTTTTGGGGAGTTTTTTGAGGGTTGTTTCAATTTCCTCACTGCTGATCAGCTTAGATTTTCCAATTCTTTAAAATTTAGTCTAAGAAGGTTATATATTTCCAGGAACTTAAGCATCTGGTCCTGCTGTCAGCCATGTTACGTTGTTGCTTCACCTGGTTTTGCTGCTTTTCTGGGCCCTGAAATGAAACATAACTGAGGACTAGATGTTATCTCTAGTTGGACCGAAACTCTGTCTCTCTTGTCAACAGGCCCGAAGCTTTGTTCCTAAGATTATTCGATGCTGATCAGAACCTCACTGTCCTGAGGGCTAGGGCTTAAGGCTTAAGGGAGTGGACATGCAAGGGGGAAGGTGCAGGTGAGTCAGGGTGCTGGATGAGTCCAGTTTGAATCAGCTGTCTCAGTTTGTCTATTCCACTTATAAAGGGATTTTCCTGGTTTCTTACTATCCTGCTTCAGTAGTGGACCTAAAATGCTTTCAGAATCCCCATGGTAACTGTAGAGTGTAGGTTCCAACCAATACAGATAAGGAAAACTAGCAGTCAAGCACACTTGGGAAGCTGCAACTTGTTGAGCAGTCTGGTATAGGGCAGGTTTTTGGGAAACCTGCTTGGCATATTTTACTTCCTCTTTTGGTTATGTGGGGGCTAAAATATATTAATACTTTTCCTCCCACCTTCTAAATTCTTCTGGTTCGGCTAATAACCAAATTAACAGAGACAGATTGACAGAAGAAAATCAAATGTTATTGCATATGGGGAATTCACATAGACATGATCATTCCATAAAAATTCCAAAAATACAGTGAGGCAACATTGGGTATATGAGACATTTTGGACAAAGGAGAAAAGGGAGGGGAACAGGGCATTAGATTTCAGAAGTGAGAGTGGGGGATTTACAGGTAGTTGAGAAAGAATGGAACGTCCTTGCTAGGTGACTCAGAAACTTTGGGACACAGGGTTATCTAACAGACCCCTTCCTGAAGCCCTCTTGTTTATCATACTTATTTCAAATTAGGCTAAGGGGAACATCCTAAATTCTACTCCCTGAAGCAGGTTCTTGGTCTGAATCTCTTGGGCAAGAAAGGAGGGGAGGTGTTAAAGGTTCTTTCTGAGTCTTTTATTTTTTCTAATAAACAGTTTTAAATCATTATCCTGAAAAGAAGCTTCAGGGTGACAGAATTTTGGTTCCTTTGGGTACATAGACAAGCTAATCGAAGATGCAGTTACTGAAGTATAATCTCTCTGCCAGGAAACAAAGTCTGAAAACATGGGCCTTGCGTGTGTCATAATTCTATAACCCCCACCGCTAGTTTTTTCTGACTCTACCGCTCACCCAAAGTTCTGCATGCCGAATCCCTGGGGTCTCCTGGAAGACCCTGCAACTAAGCATCCCTCGCCTGTACCGATCTGACAGCTTAGGTGTGGGAACCCACACCACTGGAGTGACTCAAAGAGTTAACAAACAGTGCGGTGCAGATTGGCAGGGAGAGGATCCAATGGAGTGTCCAGGCAGTCTGTACCTCTGGTGAACAGGGCTGGGAGGGGGCGTGGCCAAAGGGAACCAAAGGAAGCCTACGGGGTGAGAGGGCAAGAGAGGCTAGAGATTCCGAGGAGGCGGGGCATTCGGGAGCACGTGAGCATCCACGGCTTCTTCCTGCTGGTCTTTATCCTCAGGGGCTGGTAGCTGCGGGGACAGACCAGGGTCGGTGTATGGCCACGGAGTTACGGTGTCCGGACCCAATGCCCTGTCACAACCAACAAGTGAACTCTGCCTCTACTCCAAGTCCCGAGCCGCCGCCACCTGGCGACCTGGTCCCAGATCACGACCTGGTCCCGGATCACGTGCGGGGAAGCAGCGCCTCCAAGGCCCAGCCGACTCTCCCCAGCAGTCACGCCCATTCCAGCGAGCCAGGGGAGGGGAGCCCTCAGGCCTGCGATGGCGACAGCCTCAACTCGGAGAGCAGCGGTGGCAACGGGAATTATGACGCATCGGCCAGTGACTCCTTCCCAAGGGACGACCAAGTCTCCTGGCAGATTGGGGCTCAGCTTAAGTTGCTACCCATGAATGAGCAGATCCGGGAGCTGCAGACCATTATCCGGGACAAGTGAGCCAAGAACTGAAGGGGAGAGGGAATCGGAGGGTCTCTCTGGAGGTGGGCGGGAATTAGAAGTTAAAAGGGCTAAGGGGTAGTTTTCTTGGCCTGGGGAAACTGGCTTGGGGAGATCTCGGCAGGGCTTTTTCTTTGAAGGGGAGTGTCCCCTGACTCAGACCTCCCACTGACTTTTTCCTAGTCCGTGTTTAATATCCTTTGTGTTGGGGACAAATGAAACCTTGTAGGTAGCTTCCTGCTTCCTCTTTGTCTCTTCTGAGCCATGAGGGACCCTAAGACAGTCCAGGCAGGTAAACGCGCCGGTGGCTGTCTACCTGCTAAATCTGGGATTCTACTCAAGGTTATATTCCATCTCCAATCACATCTGGCTCACAAACAGAAGTAAAGCGATTTCAAGGAAATTCTGTTGTGCTCAACTGGCCATCTGTCCCTTTGGTGTTTGCTATTGCAGATATTGTTTTGTCTAATATCTTTTAGTCTTTGAGTTGAAGTTTACTTGGTCATGCGCAAGCTTATCATTCAAGTCTTATCAGGATTGTTTTATTATAAACTTATAGAACCTTGGCTGTTTCATGTATAGTTAATGGAGCCTTCGGTGCCCTTCCTGGTCCCACAAGATAAGGTAGCAAAAACTTCATCTGAAATGCTATTTTGAGATCTCAAAACTTATGTTGTAGATGGGGTTTCTCAAGGGATATATGTACCATGATGGAACTATAGCTGACTTTTATATTGGCACCACTTTAAATGAGTAGCTGCTGCATGTATAAAAACTAACTTTTTGGTGGATGTTTTGATTTTTTTTAATCCTCACTTGAGGATATTTTTCCATTTATCTCCAGACAGAGTAGGGGAGAGAGAGAAACATCAGTGTGAGAGAGACAGGTCAATCAGTTGCCTCCCACACAGCCCCGAACAGGGCTGGGGACTTAATGGAAACTGAGGTACGTGCCCTTGACCCGGATGGAACTCGGAACTCACAGGCCAAAGCTCGACCGCTGACCAAACTAGCCAGGGCTGTTTTGATCTTTTAAAATGACTACTGAGTCAGGATGCCACCCCCTAAATCAGACTACTGACTTTTTCTTCATACAGTTGTAATAAGCCCCTACTTTGTTTCCCTGATGCAGTTTTTCTCTCTTCCACATACAGCCACACATTACTGAACAATCAATCTTGTTAACATCCCGCTTTGAGTACGTAGCTACCCTACTCAGCAGCTCTCTTTGGCTTCTCAGGGCCTACAGTATAAAGTCCTGCTTCTACCCTCATCTGAAATTCTTTTTTACTCCTCTGCATATTCAAATCATAGGTTTTCTTCAAGGTCAAACCCAGCATTAAATGTTCACTGCTGACAAGAACTTTCCTTCAGTCATTCTTCCTCTGCCAATCTTCCCTGTCCTTTTTCATGCATGAGTCACCTTTTGTTTTGTATGTTGTTATTTGTGTATCACTCTTATCTCACCTAATATATTTTAAGTTCCTTGAGGTTAAAAAATTATATCTTTTACATTTTTTAATTCCAACCATACCTTATAAAGAAAAGATACTCAATTACTAAAGGTTCTTTGTAAAGCTCTTAAAAATTATAGTGTGGCCTGGCCAGTGTGGCTCAGTGGTTGAGCGTTGACCTATGCACTAGGCTGTGAGCCCAGTCCCCAGTGGTGGGCCATTTAGGAGGCAACAGAAGGCCCAATCGATGTTCTCTCTCTTATTGAGGTTTCTATCCCTCTCACCCTCTCCCTTCTTCTCTCTGAAATGAATAAAAAAATATTTTTTAAAAATTATACTATGAGACTATACTATTTAACTATTTTTAATGAATCCATATTGAAAACCACTGGTCATGTGATCTAATAGATGAAGTAGTGATCTCAAAATGCGAAGCATAGGCTTGGTAGTTGTGGTGGGGGAAACAGAAATAAAATTAACTATAAAATGAAGAAAATAGGATGATGATTCTTGTTTCTATAGAGCAAAAGTTGCTGACCTTGAGTCTTGACTCCCTCTGTACCTATAGATGGGCTTAGGGGCTCTAGCAAACCTTCAGACATTATCTGGGAAATGTTATTTGTATGTGCATTTTTAATGGTTGTTTTTATTTATTTTTAAATATTTTTTTTCTTTATTGATTTTAGAGAGAGAGGAAGGGAGAGGGAGACAGATAGAAACATTGATGAGAGAGAACGTCGTCTGGCCACCTCCTGCATGACCCGCACTGGGGATGGGGCCCACAACCTGGGCATGTGTCCTGACCAGGAATCGAACTGGCGACCTCTTGGTGCAGGGGTCGACACTCAACCACTGAGCCACACCGGCCGGACACACAATATATTGTAGAACATTTTCATCACTCCAGCAGAAACCCCATACTCATGAGCAGTCAGTCCCCATTTCCCCCCAACCTACCTAGAGCCCTAGTCTACTTTCTGTCTCTACTGATTTGCCTATACTGGACATTTCATACAAGTGGAATCATACAACATGTGGTGTTTGGTGACTAGTTTTTATTTAGCATAATGTTTTCAAGATTTATTCATGTTGTATCAGTACCCCATTCCTTTTTTGTTTGAATGATATTCTACTTTATGGATATACCACCTTTTTTTAAAGGAAATTTAAAAAATATATGTTTTTATTGATTTTTTTTTTTTTTTAGAGAGAGGGAGGGAGAGATATAAACATCAATGTGAAAGAGAAATCCATTGGCTGCCTCCTGCACACCCCCTACTAGGGATTGAGCATGAAACCCGGGCAAGTGCCCTGACCGATAGTTAAACCAGGACCTCTTGGTCCATTGGACAATGATCAGTCCACTGAGCCACACCGGCCGGGCATGGATATACCACTTTTTTTTTTTTTAAATCCTTACCCAAGGATATTTTTCCATTTATTTTCAGACAGAGTGAAAGGGAGGGAGGGGGAGAGCGAGAGAAAAAAAAACATCTATGTGAGAGAGACACACCGACTGTCTGCCTCACGTATGACCCCGAACAGGGCCGGAGATGAACCACAACCGAGGTATGTGCCTTTGACCGGAATCGAACATGTGACTCTTTGGTCTGCAGTCCAATGCTCTAACCACTGAGCCAAATCAGCCAGGGCAGATATACCACATTTTTTATCCATTTATCAAGTAATGGATATTTGGGTGGTTTCTACTCTGGTTATTATAAATAACGCTGCTATGAACATTTGCATATGTGCCTTTTTTTATGTGGAAACTGTTCCTTAGATTTCATTAGATTTTACGTGATAAGACTAAAGCATTGCTGTAGAACTTGGAGAGGGCATGACATTCAGCATTCATATATGGCAATATCAATACCTGGTTGTATAGCATTACTTAGAAACCTGGATGTAAGTGAAATCTTCTTTTTTTTTTCCTGAGTTTGGAAGGAGACATCAGGGTCCATAATGATCTTAGGCAAGATGTTTAGCATCTCTGTGCTTCAACTTTATTATTTATAAAATGACGATGTTTGCCGTATCTCATGGATCTTCTGGGAGGCTAAAACAAGATACTGTCTGAATATTTGTTATGAACATTGAAAAGCTGTGCACATTTAAGGCATTTCAAGCCTTCATGTTTTGATTTGTGCATGGTTCTTGTTGCATCTATAAGTGCTGGTTTCTTGAGCTTCCAGGAGATAGCAAAGGGCATTAAATTGTACATACAACTCACATTGCTATTTGTAAAAGAACACTGAGAGATCTCAGATAATTTTTATCGTGCTATCATACAGTATGGAAAGACTCACTATGATTTTTGATAAGTAATTGATGCTTAGTTTTTGAGGCTGGAGACAGTGTTTTAGTTTTGTTTTTGTTAATCAAATCTGTTAACAGGGGCCTCTTTTGCTTTTATCTTCAAAAACTGGCATTCCCCCTCCCCACAGAAAAGACGAGTTCCATCCCCTTTAGGGGGCTTGTGTAGGGTGCCTGTGGTAAGAGGATCTGTATTTATGTAGGTCTAGTTATGGAAAGTGCCACCACTTAATCTATCCTGTCTTCCTCAGGACTCAGTCATTCAGAAGTTTATTTGTTTTAATGATTGCAACATCAACGCCCCTATGTATCAGGTACTGTAACAGGCAGACCTTCTTTCTGCCTCCTCGGGGTCCAGACTAGCTCCCAAGATATTACTAAGATATGCCCAATAAATATTATAACAGAAGTATGTATAGTGAGAGGTGACTTCCTCACTCCTAGCTTAAAAGCCAGTAGAAAAATCCACAACTTGCAGGTGACAGTTTTCTCAGTAAGAATGTAGTAGTCTAAAAACATCGGTCAGATCATTTATTTAGTCACACATGGGTCACATAAGAGAAATGACTCCTTCATTTCCAGTTTCGATGGTTGCAAAATCTGAGTGTAGTGTACTTTCCCCTTATAGTTCATGATCTCATATTGAAGGCGATGCAGTGTATTTAAAAGATCATCTTCCCTCCCCATTTTTTGTTGGTGTTTTCTTTTGTCTTCTGAAACATTAAAGTAAAGCTGTTTCAGGAGCTGTGCATCTGAATTGCCTGGGGAGTCTTTTTTTCTCAAAATTTACTTCCCATTTTTAGAGCAGTCTTAGGTGGAACTGAGCACATGTAGCTTTACAAACACCTTGGGTGATTGTGCTGTGTTTAGGCTGGGCCACTGCCCTTTGCATAGTGATTTGCCTGGCTTCAGATTCAGGATATAGGCTGAGCCAGGGATTCCGCACACTAAACAGAACTAGCCTAGAGACCCTGGCCGGGCATCACTCTGAGACCAGAGGAATCTCAGAACTTTTCCCTTCAACCTGTACAAAACTGAAATATCTACCACAGAAAAAAAAAAAAACTGTCACCTGCAAGTTGTTTAAAACATGGACATATTTTTGGTTTCCCTGAGTATTTCATGTGGATTTTTCTACTGGCTTTTAAGCTAGGAGTGAGGAAGTCACCTCTCTCACTATACATACTTCTGTTATAATATTTATTGGGCATATCTTAGTAATATCT